CGATAATTAACCGTCATTCCTTACAAAACAACATGCAAATCTTCAATGTTAATAAATATTTTTAAAATATGGCTCTGTTACATTGTAGAGACATATTCTGCGAGCTCAAACATTTTTTTGAATTAAAAATTTTTGTCTGTATGATGAGTTATAACAATTTTCATGAAAAGCGATTTTCTTTAATAATTTAATTTAAATATAAATTAAAATGGATTTTAACAGTCGGGAACTTAAAACGTTTATAACTTTGGAAGCAAAATAGCTACAAAAAAAATTGAAAGTGTTTCTAATCTCTAAGAACCTTATCTACAACGTAACAACGCTATTTTTTTTTTGTTTAAATATAATTATGGTGAGTTAGAACAGTTTATGCAAAGGCGATTTTCTTATTTTAACAATCAAAATCTTAAAACGTTTATAACTTTGGAAGCAAAATAGCTAGAAAAAAAATTTAAAGTGTTTTTAATTGTTAATGAATAAATGAAATAATAGAGTATTAATAATCACCCACGATAACCATTTGTGAAATTATTTATGAAAATAGTTAATTACAATTAACACTTAGCTGTATTCATATACATATAGATAATTAATTTAAATAATAAATTTTTGGTATAACAACTAATTGCATCACACTTATTTTTTACCACAGCAAGGTGATATTAAATAAATACCATGCAGAATTGATACGACTAGTTAATTCAGTGTTGGAACGTGGTAAATGACCACAAAAAAAAAAAAAAAAATTCCAACACTAGTTGAGAAGTTGTTTTGGGGGAAGAGGTACTATGTTTGTAACTAATCGCAGCGAGAGTTAATACACACAGCAATCGATAAATCACGTAAAAACCATTCCTATGAGCACAGAGGCCATAGTTTTCGCGTTTCGAATAACTATAAACTTGCCCCACCACAGTAAAAACGTGAATATTTCATGCCTTAATCCATGCAATAACTCCCAAAATAATCTTTCTGTGCTGATTTTATGAAGGTAGGTATCAGCATAGTTAAACTACGGGGGCCGAGTCCCTAAGAGGTTCGTCTTACAAGCCGCCCATTCAAAGGGCCCCGTATAGTTCCATACACTAATGAGGATTTCAACGCGTAAACAAGTACCCAATCGCGCATTGGGTTTTATCCCTCTCTACACTATTGCATTGCAATAGTGCGTCAATGGTGTGGGTGGCTACAAAGGCCATCTTGACTG